ACTTCCTGCTAAACAGCAAAAGTTTGCGTTTAGGCAGATTTTCAGGCCTCGTTTCCACATTAAAGGGGCCCTCCTGCAGGTTTCCACCTATAGCTGCAGCACAAAGCCACCGGGGGTTTTACGGTGTTCCTCTCGTTCACTCCTCTTTTCTACTGTACCTCTTCCTCTCTTTTCTTCTCCCCCTTCTGCCTCCTCTGGTTTTATTGGGGAGGGAGTGCCCCCCCCCCCCCCTTGTTTGAAGTGGCCTGCTCATAATCCCAGGCCTTTCCCCCCGGGTATCCCCCCCCTTCCTTTTTCCTTCTCTTTCTCCTTTTCCCTCGTCCCCCCTCTCTCTGGAGTGTGATACTCAGAGGCGGGGGGGGAGGGGGGGGGGGGGGGGTACCTGTTAACTCTATTTCTTTTCTCCACTTTAACACTCTTGCCATATACCCAGTGGACCATTTCGCCCTCACACACACACACACACACACAGAATCACTTTGCTTTATTCAGTGTTTTAGCGTCGAAACCGTCAAATTAGGAACCATTTTCACAACTTATTAGGCTTCATTTGGCTTTGTGAAAGCAAAGTTAAATGATTCTCTTTATTTTGCACACTTGGACATTGTTATCTCACATTTCTGACATCTTCAGGAAAGTGGGCGTAAACCTAAAGTGTAGTTTAACTTTAATAGAAGGCCTGTGATTTAGTTAGCCAAGTAGAGTAAAGACAGCAAAAATCTTTATTTGTGCATTTGTTTTTTTCATTTAAACGCAGTGAACATTATTAGAAACTTCTCTTGAACTTTCTCAAATGCACTTTTTCAGTTAACTTCTGTTTAAAGGTGGATTTCGGCAGCAAATGCTCTAAATAATTTCAATTAAACAATCCATTTTAATTGGGCTGTCCACCCCTATGTATGACCACTAGCCCAATGCAATGTTTAGCAAACAATGCAACGTTTTCTGACCCTGTCAGAGCAGTTTTTACCCATTTCTGGACATGACGTGTGTTTTACGGGTGTTTTTATTTGATCTGGAGCTAAATTTATCGCCTTGTTTCATGGAAATCCCACAGACCTCCTCCTCATAATGCTTTTTAGTAACTGAAAGAAACACTTCAGATTGACATCTGCTCTTTTGAGGAAACAATCCTATGGGTCATACTTCCTTCCCGTCCCTTTAAAGGACGGCGTTTCGGGTTGTATTGAAGGTTTTTGGACCATGAGGGGATTTGGAGGCTCCCAAAAACACATTGTACACCATTTAACACCATTTAAACACTTCTGCAGGATTTAATAAACCTTAAACCTCTGTGTCAGGTTAAATTTTTAAGGCTAATGTTGAGTTCTGTTGTTTGCAATGAACAAATCACCACAAAAAAGTCGCTAAATGATCCTCCTTTGTGGGAGCTGGATGTAGAGTTTTATTGACTGTGATGGTTCACAGTTCCTGTGTGGAGAAACGTGCAAAAGAAAGAGTTCCTCCTCCAGTCAGAGCACAAACTATGAAGGAATTCCTGTGGTTTAAGCAGCTATAGTGAAAGGGGGAGGAGACAGAGCCTGAAATGAGCAGCCAGTCAGCAGATTATGTCAGCAATTAACATCCAGAGGACCATGAATCTTAAATTACAAGTGTTCGGGCTGTAAATCCTCCCCTCTGCGACACCGGGAGAACTTTTAGTTCAGCAGATCTCCACTTTGATTTGTTTGGGAATAATCCTTTAATGTGTGCTCACAAGGGTTTTATAGGGACGTAAAAGAAAGGATGCTGCATTTCCAGACCTCTCTGTGAATCAGGTGATGAGCGTTCGGCGTGCTAATAGCATAAAACCGGTCACGTGACTCGTTTTTTTCTGGTTTGCGTTCATATTTGAGCGTTTTTTTCTTGGTTTATGTGTCCGACAAGGGTCCTCCGATAAGGTCAGGCTATTGAGAGGTCAGACATGTGGACATTAATAATCTGACTGTCTTGATCTTTTATCTGTGATGTTTTAGTGTGTAATTTGTTCTGTTGTGTACAGTCACTGTGTTTGGTGTAAAAGCCTAACTGGGGACAGGCGTTGAGAATTATAGCCTTAGCTAAAATGTTATAGTGTGTGACATGTTTCATGAAACATACTTGTCCCTATCAAATAAACAAACAAATAAATAAATAAATAAATAGGGGTCCAGAGGATGGCACGATCCCCGATCGGCTCCTGCTTTTTTATTGTTATTACACCAGTCGGGGAGCAACAATTCCAGGTCAAAACAAAGATTCAGAGTTGATGGGGCCGTGAGGGGGGGTCTGTGTCATTTCCTCGCAAGTTTCACACAAAACGAATGTCACCATTAGCAGAAAACGAGGGCTGAGCTTCCTGTTTATCCTCCGCCAGCCCTTCTGCAGGAGCACTTTTCCGTCCTTCATGGCTCCCCGTAGGAACGCAGGTTATTTGACTCTCATTCGTCCTTAATATCTCCCTCTTTATGAGATTCATTATTTACTGGCACCCGTTTTTTACTCCTGTAATTCCCCGCGTTTCTGCCGTTTTTTTTTTTCTTTCCCCCTCCTTGTTTTGCCCTTGTTGTCATTTAGCTACTCCCCCACCACCCCACCCTCTCTCTTTCACTCCCTCTCCTCCTTTGCTGTCTCACTTTTCTTTTTCTCCATCCGCCTGCCCTTTTACTCCTCCTCCTCCTCCTCTTCCCCCTCCTCCTCCTCCTCCTCCATCCCTCCATCTCTTCGGCTCAGGACAAGGAGGTGAAAGCCAAGCGGATTACAGTGGCGGTTTAATCTGGCTGACCCACCGAGGGATTGCTCTCTGCTTTGCTGCAGGGCAACAGGGCCCAGTTTGTGGGGGAGAGAAAGGTTTGGGTGGGGTTGAAGAAAAGAGGAAGAAAGAAAGAAAGAAAGGGTCGAATCGGGAGAGTTTCTGTCTCCCGAAATGTTCCCCAGGAAAGAAGTCTTTGTGTTAGCATAAGCATGCACATGGCGTGCGTGTGAGTGTGCAGAGCCAGAGGTGGGGGGAAGGGCTCCGGGTTGTTATTAAGAGATGGAATATTAAAGCTACTTTGCCTCTAATTTCTTTCCATCTGTCATCAAGTTGTCCTCTTCGTGCTTATATGTGTGTGTGTGTGCGTGTATGTGTGTGTGTGCGTGTGTGTGTGTGGGCGTCTTGTTCTATGAATAGATCCGCTTCAGAAATTAACAGACAATTAGTCCTCTTCTGCGTTTCAAAGGCAAAATACTAAAACGTCCTTGGCAGTTCTTTTTTTTTTTTTTACGGAAACATCAAAATCCCATGTTTCTGCATCTTGTCAAAGTCGTTCAGACTCGTGTGGCCCAGACCGAGGCCTCGTCGGATTTATCCGCTCACCGAGACGACTCTGGGTCATTTCTGTTTGTTTTTAACGGCTATTTTTAATCTCGCCGATTGTCGGTCGGCTGTGTGTGTGTTTGTTTGTGTGTGTGTTTGTGTGTTTGTGTGTGATTCATATTCAGAGAGGGAGGCTCCTCACCTAATCAAGTCAACCATAATAGATATGAAAACAGCAAATATCTCATTATTATTGTTAAATGATTTATCGGGCTCTCAAATTAATGTCACAGAAAGATTTTGTTGGGAGACCTGAGACTTTATGGTTTGATTACCCTTGTGCTGTGTCATCAGTTCATTTAACCCCCTATCGTTGGGTCCTTCGGCTCTAGCAAATTATTTATGGGATAATTATTGTATGTGGAATATGTTGTCGTGTAGATTAGTGGATTAAAGAAACATCTGGGCAGCTGGACTTGGCTTTGAGCAGTTTTTTGGGGTCCTTTGCTGCATTTATCCCACTTTCCCTGTGTCGCTGCGTTCAAATAAAAGCCACAAGAGACGGGAAAAAAAAGGAAAAACTGAAAAAGCTTAGCCGTGAATTAGTGGCTGCCGCAGTTTTACACGGTA